AACGATAATGTCGATGAAGCTTATCACGTGATTTCTTCCTGTGAAATCCTTGGATCGTCTAGCTAGTCTATTCGATCCCTATTTGCTATAAGAGCTTTGTGATGTGCTTGACCTGTCAGGACGCCGCCTGGTCTTCACTCATCCCGTGACAACACGTGATTCGTGACAACACCTTAGATAGCTACCTTTTACAATGCAATCAATTCTCCATGACCTTCAGTACCCAATACCCTTTCAACCCAATATTATTTTGTTATAATAGTTTAATTTATATATAGATTAGGAAACTTTTATATAAGTTCTTAGGGTTCTTGTTACGGAACAGTCTTAGCTAGCCGAGACTCCTGTACTCCTGTCTCTGCTGCCTGACCTTGTTTCGGTTGCCTAGAAGGATGCCTAGTACTCTAGAGGCTTCTATTCGGTTAGGATCGTCCCACCAGGGGTCGTCAGAATTCTGGGCGCAGCGTCGGATTTTGGCTGAAAACACACCAAAAACACCCTACTTTACTAAACTATAATAAAATAAAGGGCAATCTTAATAGCTTATAACTAAAGTCTATAGTAGGGACATATAATAGCTATAAATCGCACTATTCAAAATCTTAAAAAAAGTAAATTAACCTAAGTACTATAAGAGTAATAAATTTACCAGGTAATTTAATAGGAGAAAACTGTGACGAAACTCAAACTATCTGACAAAGGTAATCGTTTCGACGGTTGGTATGCGGGTAAGAAGTACAGATGCGCCGGGTTGTTTACTCGGAGGTGCACTCGTCACTTGTTAACAAAGAAGTAATAACTTAATAACTAGATTGCTAAACTAAGTTGAGCACGAAGCTCCTATCTAATGGCAGACGTGCCAGTCTTATATAGAACCTTCGTCCTCTCCTGGATCCATCAGATCCCTTTGGATCCCTTCGGGATCTATCCGGGTCCATCACGTGACAGTAACCAATGGAAATCCTTGGATCGCTTAGCTATAAAGAAGTAATAACTTAATAACTAGATTGCTAAACTAAGTTGAGCACGAAGCTCCTATCTAATGGCAGACGTGCCAGTCTTATATAGAACCTTCGTCCTCTCCTGGATCCATCAGATCCCTTTGGATCCCTTCGGGATCTATCCGGGTCCATCACGTGACAGTAACCAATGGAAATCCTTGGATCGCTTAGCTACTCTAAGCGATCCCTATTATAAGAAACCTGGGTGTGCACTGTCGAGGGTTGCGCCTCCTATTATGACATGTATCACGTGGACACGTGATTCGTGACAAAAACTCTTTACTAGAATATCTCTTAATATATTATGTGTTCAAGAAAGTTTTCGTATATATACTTTATCTATATACTCTAAACAGTTAACATATAAGATATTATATATAGTTCTAATACGAATTCGTAAACTTGTAGGGTTATAAAAACGTAGCTTTTTAGTATGTTTTTAGCTAATATATAGGACTACGCCTAGAATTCTAATAACCCCTAGTAGTCCTATAAAGACTCCCTACTTCCCCCTTAGCTGGCTTTCCTCCTTATACTTATCCTATTCTATACTATATCCTTGTTAGAGTAGAATATTAAATAAATTATCCGTAAGAAGAGAAGAAGAGACTCCCGCGGTAGAACTATTTAAGTATCTATAAATACCCCTGTTATAGGTATATCACGTATAAAACCTATTTACTATAAAACTCGAAATCGAACCTTTATAGTTCTATTCGTCTTCTAATAGTTCTCTAGCTTATATAAATCTAAGATTTTTATAATTAGTATAAATCTCTAAATTATATAAGCTAAATATACTCTTAAGGAAAATAAATAAATTTTAAATAGTTATCAAAGAAAAGAAAGAGAGAGTCTTCTAAACTAGTAGAAAATATAAAATATAGAAAACTAGTAAAATCTACCCTTATAGTACGAACTAGCTAGTAAATACCTTATATAAAAACACCCCCCCTTTTTTTACTCTCTATCTTACTAGAGAAGTTATATACTAATTTATTTATTCTAATAACCTCTCTCGAGACTATAAGAGAAACCGACGCTTCCTTAGTATTTTCTATAAGAAATATATAATTCGCTATACTACTATATCTTCTAATCCCGAGGTACTAAATTATACCCTACCTTAGGTAACTCTATAGTAAGAATCTATTATTATTATATTAACTATACCTTTATAGAATAGGAATAAATTATATATAATAGTATTACAACTATAAATATATAGTTTTTCGCTAAACTAGTATTTAAACGCTAAAACTACCTAGAGATTTTACAGAATTAAATTTATTTTACTTAGATAAGTATACTTTAGATCTTAAGTGTCACGGATGCCAACAAAGGATAAAGTGTATACAGCTTTTGAATCAATTGCTAGAACTAAAACCGTAGGTACGAAGAAATCAAACTAAAGAGAGAAGAGAATCTGAAAGGAGCGAAGTTATTTAAGTTGTTCCAATGCCAAGTCTCGTCACGTGCTTGGCCAAGCGAATGAAATCCTGTCAAATGAAATCCAGCTCCGTCACATTAAGACTCGAAGGATTTTAGAATACAAGGATACTAACCCTCCGACCGCTTATCGTTTACTATACGATAAACACGTATTTAAGTTAGAACCGTTAGATCTATTAAATTACTTTTCAATTAGTATAAACATTAAAGAAAAAACACCGGAAATAATTATATTTATTAAAAGCTAAGTATCCTAGAATATTTCGTAATAATAACCCTAGATAACTAACTAGAAGCAGAAATAGAAACAGAAACAGAAATTTAAGTATATATAAAGTAAAGTGATGAGATTAGATTTACTTATTTACTTATTTGTTTATTTGTTTGTTTGTTTGTTTGTTTGTTTATACTTTTCTTTACTAGTATGTAAGTAGTAAGTAAGTACATTAATCACGTATAGTATATACTATATGGAAAAAGAGTTTGATTTTCGAGGATCTTTTGAGGATTTCTGGGTTTTAAGGTAGAAGTTATAAGTAGAAGTAGAAGTTAGAGGGGTTTTATTTCCATCCACCCATCTACCCATCTCCCCCCTCCCTCTCCCCCCCTCTCTCTCCTTACCTACCAACCAACCAACCCATCCAGCGTTTCATTCACTTCAAGACTTCAAGACTTCAAGCTCCGCTTAGCTCAGCTTAGCTCAGCTTACCTTTTCCCCTTCGATTTAGAACAGTAATAGTGATAAAAGGACGGGGGAACCTTTTGCGTAGGAGGTTTTAATTCTGATAGGATGGTTTTTATAGGATGAGGGAGGGGCAGGGAAAAGGTATTGTAATGTGGATGTGGATGTGGATGTGGATGTGGATGTGGATGTGGATGTGGATGTGGATGTGGATGTGGATGTGGATGTGGATGTGGATGTGGATGTGGATGTGGATGTGATGTGATATGATGACTTGGTTACCTGATAGATAGTCTGATAGAGGTTTACAATACCCGTACTCGAGTACAAGCTGAGGATGGCCTAATGCGGGTTTGGATTAGATACTGTAGTATCAATACAATCCCAATTATTTCATGACACCATTTTCCTTTTCATTAAAGAAGTGGTATGCTCTTTCTACTTCTCGTGTAAGATCACCAGATACTACAACCCCTCACTTCCTCAACTTCACCATCCCCCTCTTCCTCTTCCCCCCCACCTCCCTCCCCTCCTCAATCTCCAACATAGCCTCCCTCTTCTTCTCCCCCACCAACTTCAACGCCTCACGAATAACCCTCGTCTCAAGATTCACCCCTTCCTCCGCCCACGCCACCATTTCCCTCCCGACTCTAGCTTCAATAGCCTGCACCAGCTGCACATCCCTCTGTCCCACAAACGTGACTGCATCTCCCTTCCTCCCCGCACGCGCCGTACGTCCCACGCGGTGGATATAATCATCCGGGTCGCGGGGGATGTCGTAGTTGATGACTAGTCCGACTTCCGGGATATCCAGACCTCGGGCTGCGACGTCGGTGGCGACTAGGATTCTAGCTGCTGAGGCGCGGAAACGGCCGAGGTTGTCGATTCGTTGGCGTTGGGGGAGTTTGGAGTGGAGTGCTGTGACGCGGTGTTCTAGGAGACGGAGGAGATGGGTTAGGTAGTCGGCTGTGGAGGTGCGGTTACAAAAGACGATGATTGATTTTGGGAGGTTGACATCGGTGAGGAGGAACATGTGGAGATAGTGTTCTCGGTGGGTGACTGGGATTTGGAGATGCATTTGGCGAAGGGAAGATGGGATGGCGAGTTTTTGGGTGTCGACCTCGCAAATGAAGACTGGTGGTTTGCCGGGGGTTTGTGGTCGTTCTTTTAGAGCTCGTACCTCTGGTGTGATTGTTGCTGTGAAAAGTAAGGTTTGTCGTTTAGCTGGTGGTGGGAGAATAGAGAAACATCCTTCTACGTCTGGGAGCATGCTTCCTGCCATTCCACCTGCTAGTAACCGATCTGCTTCATCTAGTACTACCATTCGTACTCTTCTTAATGAGCAGATTGTATCCTCTCCGGATGTGCGTATGTGATCTGCTAATCTTCCTGGTGTCGCAATTACAATATGCGGTCTTTGGGCCAATGCAGTCGCCTGAGGTCGCATATCAGAACCTCCAGTGATAAGAACAGCCTTGAGACTTTGAGGAGAAGATATCGCTTTGACTTGTTCGAAAATTTGCAAGGCAAGTTCTCTATTCTATCATTAGCCATAAAATCCTTGATACTCCAATTACATGTATGGCACAAGTACAACCCCGCGCAACCAAACTCTACATACCTCGTCGGCGTCAATATCAAAGCAAAAATCCCAAAAGGATCCTCCGCCCATTTCTGCAAAATCGGCACCGCAAACGCAACCGTCTTCCCAGAACCCGTTCTACTCCCACCAATACAATCCCGCCCCTTCAAGATCTCCGGAATACACCCCTTCTGAATCCCCGTCGGTCTCTTAATAGCCATCGAGTTCAAGCTTCCAACCAGCCATGGCTTCACATTCAGCGCAGCAAAACTTGTATTCGGGTCCGTGGGGGCTGTGATCCCGCCTGTCGTTGGCACTGGAATAGCTACTTGCGCCGGCGCGCTTTTCTTGCTGATTCTTGAAGGTACGGTGGATATGGCGATTTTGGGGGCATCTTCGTCATCTGATTCATCGTCGATTGGAGCGGGGGAGATCTTTCTTCGTTTTCGGGAGGTTTGACTATCGAAGGAATCGGAATCTGAGTCGGAATCTACCCCGCTGGACTGTACGGCCGCGCTTTCTTCTGCAGAGGAATTTGTTTCATTGTCTGATTGGTGGACTGGACTGCTTCGCGCATCAATTGAGGTCCTCTGAGAAGGCATTGTGGAATTGTGGGAGGCGTATGGTACAATGCTGGTGGGATGTAGCGTGCAAGTAAGTATCGGAATGGAACTATTTTATTTTTCCTTATCCGATCGGCTCGGGTTGATCCGTTCCGGGTGTAAATACTTGGCGTAGAGAAGCCACGCTTACTCGCTTAGTTCTGTCTCACTCACTGGTTCTCAACTTATGTTTCCAATAATTGGAAAGCCATCGAGAACTATAAATCAAACACATGGCACTCTTCAAAGCAAAAAATCCCAATGAGTCTACGAACTCGTATCTGAATAAGAACCATATGAAGCCATTGTCTCCCGCATCTCATAATTAGCTATAAAAACCACACTTCAAGATTTCCTCCTTTCATAAACACTAAGAGACCTAACTCTTCTCAGCTCTCAAAGAAGAAGAATTTAGATAATTAGACTTTTAGCCCTTTCCATTCCCTAACATAAAAAGCGTATAAGTCCAAGAAAACTTTCACTTATCCTATGAAGTCCGAAGCCAAGACAACAAAAACATTCCTCGACAATACAAATGCAGAGATCTACTTGTGATTCAAATACAAGAACCAAACCAAGCATCTTATCCACAAGGCCATCCTCACAACTACTCACCTAATTCACACACCCTTCTAAACTCTCCCTCAATGCTACCCTCCCCTCTAAAACAACCTACTCGGACTCAGCACCCGAATCGGGCCGAGAGAGCCGACCCGAGAACACAAGCCCGGGATTCCTCTCACACAGGCAATCAGCTAAGCGCCAACAAGGCGGTTAGGATAGTCAGTCGTACGAGTAACGGTACGGTGCGGCACAAGAAGCGGCTGTAAGAGGTAGAGTACCTCTTCGCATCGTACTCTAGATAAGAGCGAGATATCTCGCTCCGCCCGCAGAGTCAGACGTACAGTAGTGGAGTAGTGCATACTTTTCGCGAGACTTTCCTTTCCATAGGCGCTCCAGTACCAAGCACAGTATTCTACCCGTACCAAACCACTTTTTCCTGCCTACTAGAGTAGGTATGGAGAAAGAACCACGTGGGTGAGAAAAGAGACTTCGAACTACTGGAAACCTACCTACGGTCGCAACGGTAGTTCCGCACCACCCGAATGGCTTGCTTCTGATTCTAGCCCGGCCTGGATTCCCGGTCTTGTCTCGATCAGTTGAGTCGGGTCGGGTTGGGTCTCTACCAGTACAGTACAGTATCTGAAAATAATGATGCGAGGAGACCGAACGGTTTTTTAGATTGGACGTCTAGACTGGGCTGGGCTGGCTGGAAAATCAAACTGTGACAGACAGGAGGGAATTTTAGACTTTTGCGATGGAGAGTAAAAATGGCATGAGAATAATGTGTCCATTTTTGGGTGCTGGTTGATGTCATCGAGGCATCATCGTCAACGTGTGGGTGAACATGATGAGATGCGTCCACCTCGAGAGTTGAACGAACGTTCTGGAAATAGGGACGTTTGTGACAGGAGATTAGACTTCGATGTAAAAAGGGGATGAGAAGGTGCCATTTTGGGTAGTCATTCTTTTTGTTGGCGGTCGAGCATGGGAGGTTGTTTCCGTGTGTCTCGTTTCGTACTGTAGATGAACCACTTAGGAATCATAGCGGTGTTGGATTCATGTCCTTTGATACTGTAGCTTTTCCCCCACCATTCACCATCCACCCCCGCGCAATCCCCTGATCCTCGGAAGCGCAGTTAAGCCTTTGAGAGGGTGACATGACGGGGAAAGTTGAGGGCGTTTGATCAGAGGTAGTAATCAATCATGGAGATAGTTTTTGATGCCCGACTTTTTATAATAAGAAAGAGAGAGAGCACGTTTCCCAAAGTTTCGTTTCGCAATAGATGAACCAGTCGGAATTCGTAGCCTCGTTCATTGGTTTCTTGTGTGATGTCGATGAGATTGCGAGGTTGTCCCCAGAAGCGCAGCTAAGCATTTTTTAAAGTGACACAAGGGGAAGAGTTGGGGGCGTTTGATCGGGGATCTTACTCCCTACCGTCCACCCCCTTCCATTCCGTAGGAAAAATGTTGTTGTCAGAAAGATGTTCATCGCATTAAGGTGGTTATTTGCTTTTCGTGTAGATACACTTTTGTAGTATAGCAGGTTGTGACGAAGGGAGGAGGTGGGGGTATGATGAGAGATGTGGTGATGGTATGCTTTCCAACCTTTCTCCCCATCTCCCTGACGGGAGGATTCTATTCGCATTGAGGTGGTCGTCTGATCTTGTGATGCTGTAGATAAACTTTCGTAGAATAGGAGGGTTTTTTTTTTGTTTTGCCCCCAAATATATTATCACAACTCGTACTTGTAGGCCAGGTTCAGAGATACAGCGAGGTCGTCTTCACGTGTCCACACCCCCCTTCCCATCCCCTGATGATGATATCGAGTTTTGATGCTGTCAGCGAGACCATCGAAGCGCAGCTGCAGAGAACAATGACTGCATATTCGAGTATCCGTCATTGTTCTTCGACAGCAAGTAGATTGGAGCTTACACCCCCCCNGAGTTGGTTGTAACAATGGTGTTGTATGGTATTCTTTGCTTCGTGGAACACCAGGGCATCCATCCAAGCTCACGCAGCTTTCTCCGCATTAGATCAGCTTACCACTTTATGTCCACTTGGTACCTTTGACTCTAAAGGAACCCCAAGTGGGATGTTTTGACGTCTTTGCTACCATTGCCACCAGGTATGGAAAATATCAGCTGGCCCGATTGCCAATGAATTGAAGTGCAACTTTGCATTGGCCAGCTGTTGCGAGCTCTTGAGCGAATCGCACATCCTTGGTCCGTTTTCCCGCTGGACCAAGATGTTGAGTGCTGCTAGCACACTTGCGCTACCTGCTGCATTCATCTTGCCGGCACCAACAACCGGCGACGAAAGAAATTCGAGACTCGTCGAACGAGGGAAATACCTTGGTAGTGTAATAGAAGCTTCGCACGATCCCGCCGTCAGGCCACCTAATCGCCGTCTCTTCTTGCCCTCGCATGCACGTCGCTTTTTGGCCCCTGAACAGGCGGCAAGAGAGCTCCCTTGCAGCAGGACTCGGTACAGGCTGCGTAGACGCACCTAAACGCACCAGACCAGATGGGTGATGTGGGCGTCGAGTGCGAGTCTCTCACTGGCTGCATCACGCCCCAAATTGAGGACCTCGATCCATTGAGTCGCCTCTTGCGTGCATCCTGACATCTCCCCCAAGTCCCCTGAACCTGAACCTGGGCCTGAGCCTAAACGTGAGCCGGAACCTGACGTTGGTTGGGGGCCGTTGCCGTGAATATAGTTCACCCAACTGACTGGGGCCTCTGCCACAGTAACTGCCTCTGCCACAGTAACTGCCACTGCCACTGCCACTGCCTCTGCCACTGGGTTCAACTGTACTCGTAGTACTCTAGCCGCCGAGCATCCGCTTCAGACGTTTCAGTTCGACGCATCAAAGGCAAAGGAGGAAACTCCCGCCGCCAACATACTCGTACCCCATTAATTCCAACCCCATTCCTAGCAGCACGCAGTACGCAGTACGCAGCCACAAGCGCACTCAAGGTTAACTCTACCCAAGACAACTAGCACTAACAACCTACCCTACCCCATCCCATCCCATCCCACCCCAATCCCCATCACCCAAAGACGAAGACTAAGACTCGACCTCGACCCCCAACTCTGCCGACTCACCTTCGACTTCAACACACAATCACCATCTTCACTTCATCCTATTCTTGCCCTTCTCGACACTCGTTCACCTTGCACACCTCTCGGGTATTCCACCTCCACCCTCCAGCTTCAAGCTTTGCACATACGAAACCACACCATACCCCGCGGCCCGATCGAAGCAACACAACGCTCCAAACATCTGCAGGTCGGTTCATTGCAGTAGGAAACTGCACAACGGATGCAACAACAGAATACTCTTTTTGGAATCACCCGTGACGGTGCCGCATCAGCGACGGACAATCGAGCCTTGCTAGGAGGGGCACATTTGGCAACTTTCGCCAAATATGTATGTCAGTTTTCACATAATTCCCTTGTCAACATACGACAAGAAGGCAAGTAGAACGTCATCCTAATCCTCGAACAGTCTCCAAAAGATAAAGAATTGCCTCAACTACCCACCATGTCGTCTCCCGCTCCCTTACTCCGTCCTCCGATTCCTGGTGGACGCAGTGGCGGTGGACTACGAACTCCAAGATTAGGACTCGCCATTCCACCTTCTCCAAGTGCAAAACCCGTCAACAACGTCGGTCTTCCCTCATTGGGTCTATCATTACAGATGCCTGGTCAGGCTCCATCACGACCATCCCTACCTCGATTACAGCTTGCAACACCCATGGGAACCAATATAACGCCTCACGAGCAACCCTTACAGAACGGTCGACCGAATATATCAATAGCTACAGGCCAGTCGGCAAGTGGAGGTAGTGAGAGCAGCGCTGCACATTCAAGAAACGGAAGCTTTGGCCCTCTAGATGGTAGAGCTAGTGGTCCCACTTCGGCAGGATCACAATATTCAGCTCTATCTTTTGCATCTCAGTATGGATTGCAACAGCCCCCTCGAGGGACACCAGATCCTGCCTCGGCTGTTGGTTCACTATATTCGAATCACAGTGAAGGGGGGGCTGGCATGGAGCGTGATGGTAGCATGACTGGACTCGAGGGTTTCGAAAACCTAAGTTTGGAAAGTTTGGAAAAAGGCCGAACACTTGATGTAGACGAATTGGATGACGAGGGTTGGCGAGTCGCAAGTATGGAGAAGAGAATTGAGGAACTGGGAAGTTTAGGAGAAGGTGCTGGTGGAGCTGTTACGCGATGTATATTGAAGGGTGGAAAGGTAGTATTTGCACTCAAGGTATGTACTCTTTGCTCTGGTATTGGAACTTCACTGATCAATTGGAAGATTATCACGACAAACCCAGATCCAGACGTCAAGAAGCAAATCGTTCGTGAGCTTGGTTTCAACAAAGACTGTGCCAATGAGCACATCTGTAAATATTATGGTGCATTTGTTGAACCTAGCACAGCTACGATTTCTATTGCCATGGAATTCTGTGAAGGCGGATCACTCGATAGCATATACCGCGAAGTGAAGAAACTTGGGGGTAGAACCGGAGAAAAGGTTCTCGGAAAGGTCGCCGAGGGTGTTCTGACTGGCCTAACCTACCTCCACAGCAAGAAGATCATCCATCGAGATATCAAACCCAGTAACATTCTCCTCTGCCGAGACGGACAAGTCAAGCTTTGCGATTTCGGTGTCAGTGGTGAATTCGGTACCAAGGGTGACGCCAATACCTTCATCGGAACCTCATATTACATGGCACCAGAGCGAATCACGGGACAGAGCTACACAATCACTTCCGACGTTTGGAGTACAGGCGTTACGCTACTCGAAGTCGCGCAGCATCGCTTCCCCTTTCCCGCTGATGGTACAGAGATGCAACCTAAAGCCGGACTCATTGACCTCTTGACGTATATTGTACGACAGAATATTCCAAAGTTAAAGGACGAGCCTGAGGCTGGAATCAAATGGAGTGAGAACTTCAAGTACTTTATCGAGTGTTGGTATGTTACTCTTGATTCCTAATCTTTGGTTTATGAATACAACGCTAATGGTGTATACAGCCTGGAGAAGAAACCCGATCGTCGTGCATCTCCTTGGCGTATGCTGGAACATCCTTGGATGATTGAGATGCGTAGTAAGCGTGTCAATATGGCACATTTCCTGGCTACCGTGTGGGGATGGCAGGAATAAGCCCCCATTTCCTTTCCGAGGATTCAAGTCCCGAATCAGTTCTCAAAAAGCTAAGCGAGATGTTTTCATGATCCAGCGAAGGAGCCTGGATTCTGGGATTTTTGGATGCCTGGTAATGGGGGACCTTTTGTGTTTTAATTACTCTTTTGATTATACAAATCTATCCACCCATTTTATAATATACCATACATGTTCTCCTTCTTTTTATCTCCTCCCGCTCCCATTTTGTTCGAGCCTTTGAGTCAGGGACTTGAGGGGTTGGAGGAATGGATCTATGTGGTGTTTTTTGCATGTGCGGAATGGATGGTCGGGACTGAATTGTGTGCGGGGTGACGGTTTGATTGGGTTTGATTGGGTAGGAGGGACGGTAATGTAGAATGATATGAATGGATGGGTTGAAAAATGAGCAGAGAGTGTATACAGGAAAGGGGAATGAGGAGGACCTTTCTAGGTTGTAAGATGGAATTGGTTGGTGGATTGGATACCGTGGGTGGATTATGTGATTTAGATAGGGAGGGATGCTTGGGATGGCGAGAGTGAGAGGTGAGAGTGAGAGGTGAGAGTGAGAGGTGAGAGTGAGAGGTGAGAGTGAGAGGTGAGAGTGAGAGTGAGAGGTGAGATGAGAGGGGTGAATTATGTACTGAGATATAGGTACTTGTAGGGGGAGAGAGGAGAGAGGAGAGAGGAGAGAGGGGGGGGATTAAACCGAATTTAAATTCAGTGATTGATCTATACTGTATTAATTTCACACGTATGTTTCTTTTTTCTTCTTTTTTTCTCTGAGCTTTCTTGGGTTTTGGGGGGGGGGG